TTATTTAAATTAAAGAAATGTCTTGAACGAGCTGCCCACAAAGTTTGCTCCAAACTCCATACTGAAATTTCTTCAGGTTTTCAAGTCTTCAGGTCCTCCAGTCTCATTACTAAAATTCTTATTTGTTTCGATAATTTTATAGTGAATTAATTAAAGGGTAGTGGAGGTATAATTCAAACCTAGGTCAAGACTAAGTTCATTTAAGCTAAGTAATTCCCTAGTGTTATGATTTTTATAATTTTTCTTAATCTAAACAACTTTTATTCTTTCATTATTTGTTTTTAACACATATATTTTATGTTTGATAAAAGCAGTAAAAGCATACATTGAGATACATAAATCAATAAGTAGAGCAAATAAAGAAATAATATTTTATCATATTTTTATTAAATTTTAATTATTTAATTAGTGGTAACCCGGTCTAGATGTCTATGATTCCGTCGTCCCGGGTTGTCGGGTGTCTTAGTTTACTTAGTCTAAATGGTGGTTGCCCACCAGGACCGAAAGATTCTTGTCAACATCCACAGAATGCATCGTGTAAGAAATGTTTGTAAACTAGAATAAAAAGGGGGGTTTGAGTTGCGTTATTTGATCTTCGTGATTAAGATTTGATTAATCATTGAGTTACTTTATCGATTTTAGGGTTGAAATGTTTTAGGTTGTTTACAGATTATTATCAAATTTTAAGTATTTTATTTTAGTTATTTTTGTTCACTTATTACTATTTATATGAAGTTGACGACTTTAAAGATGTCTTAACCTCAAAATCGTGCTTTAAATCCTTATTATATTTGATTTCGTTTAAGTTTAAGTTTTATAATAATTTTATGTAAATTTTACCCATTCCAATGTGTTTTATTTTGTTTCTTAATTGATGTTCAATTTGAGGGGTTTAAGTTAAACTTAGGATTAAAATTACACCTAAAAAATGTTCTTATATTCAACCTATGGGTTAGGTTTTGACTTAAGGCTTAGGGTAGGTTTAGCTTAAGGCTAAGCTATGATTTTGGTTTCTTTTACCTAAAGATTAGGGTTTGATTGGGGTTAACTAGCATAAGGTTTATGTTAACTAATCATATTGGTTTAGGGTTAACTAACCTAAGGTTTAAGTTCACTAATCTCATTACTAACATAAAATTTAGGTTGACTAATCCAATCGGTTTGGGTTAACTAACCTAAGATTTAGGTTGACTAATCCTAAACTCCAATAAGTTTAGTCTGAATTAAATGATAGAATGGCTTAAATCTCAATTTTAAAATGGTCCAACTATTCAAACTGAACTCAGCTAAATATTAAGTTTACTCATGCTAGACTCGGGCTAAAGACTGGCTAATCTAAAGCTCTAAATGACTAAAATTGAACTTAATGGGTGATTGACTCAATCCTTGAGTTGGTTGATCATGTCTGTAATCAAGTTGACTTAATAAAGATTTGGCTAGGTTAGACTTGGGTTGAGCTTGGGCTAGGTGAACCTAGCTTAAATTAAACTTAAACCCTAATTAATGTGTTTTAATCATAAAAATTATTTTAAACAGAGTTTTAAAATGTTTAAGTGTCTTTCTATGGTAAAAAATACAATCAGGAGAGTTTTTTTTGCAATTTTCATAATTTTTTTAATTCTTTAATCAAATAAATAGGTCATTTCATTCAAAAATTAAAATGCGGAGACAATGACATCGAAATGGCTTGAAAAAATTAGAGAAGATTTCCGCAAGATCATTTAATATTATTGTCAAATTTCATGATTTTTTTATTTATATTTTAATTTTTATGATTTAAATACTTCAGAACGTCAAAATTTAATTTAAATAAATCACTCAATAAAAAATCGTGATTTCAATTTTAAAATATTTTTCTTAATTTCCTGAGTTCACAGCATCTTTCAGTTTATTTTCTGAGCTTTATACGAAAAGTTATTTAATTTTGAAGTTAAGCTATATTTCTGAAATTTAAAAAATGTGAAATAATAAAAAAAACGCCACCTTCCTCCCCAATCATGCGAACGATGCAGGGAAGGTTTCAACCGCAGAAACTTCCTGGGTTTCATTCTCCTTCGATACTCAGCCAAATTTAGCGTTATTTGGCATGTTTTGTTTAGATCGAAGAGTAGACCACATCCGTATGGATACTTAGGTGTTTTGTGATTTATTTTTCAATCTGAAAGGAATGAAAGTTCAATATTATCGTTTCAATTTAAGAGATATAACTGAGTCTAAGATGTTTGTTCTCAATTAGGTCTGAATAAGTATGTTTCCTTGAGCGTATTCAACTGCTTGTGGCATCGATTTGACGTCATTTTCGTGTCGGTTAGAGGTTCGTCGGAATTTGGCTCAACTTCAGCTTTTCCAGCGACGTCGGTGGTTTCCAGTGATTGAGGAGGTGGGGCATGAGTTTCTTAGGTCGAGGGCTACAAGTTTCGTCAATGGTACAGATGGATTTGGAGGGCTCTAGCAAAAGTTGGCATTCCTCGACTTGGATGGAGAAGAAGCAGAGAAGTTTTGGTTGAAGGAAAGATGATGTATGGAAGGAGAAGCTTGTTGCGCATAACACTAAGTGGAAAGGAGTGGGGGGAGGTTGCTTATGGAGTAGAGAAGAAGAATGGAGGAGTGTGTGAGCTTGAGGAGAGTTTCGATTATTATAAAGGAGAAGGAGAGAGAGAGCGGCGTGAGGGCCTTCCTTATTTATTTTTTATTTTATTTTATATATTTTTTTTGGGCAGGTGTGAGAGAGAGAGAGAAGGGGGCTAAGCCTTGTATATGTTATATATATATATATATATATATATATATATATATTATTGTTGCATGCGAGAGTTGAAATCGGATAGGATAATAGCATTATTTTACTTTATTTTATTTTTTTATATAATAATAATAATATTATTATTATTATTATTTAAATCTCTTCATGCATTTTTAGCTGAACGCGTTATTGTGGTGAAATAGATGTCTTCCCTAGGTGAAATCGACGTTCTAAACACGCTCGTGCAGTCCATTTCATCATCTGGGGTCGTTTGGACCACTTTTTCTGCGTTCGGGTCAAAAATGTGTCCTATGTAATTTTCGTCAAAGTTTTGATTCGCGATCGATCGTTTCAAAATTTGATCATGAGCTAATTAAATGGATTTTGAATCAATTGAAATTGGATTTAGATACGTTGAATTTGATGGGAATTTGAAATTAGAGTATTTGATTGATCATGAAGCTCACTTTGGGGATTTTTGGACTTTTGATCAATTGAGGAAATTCACTTGAACTTAGATTTGGAGTTTAGAAATGGGCTTAGTTGGGCTTGAATTTGGTTTCAATTGGATTAGGACACAGTGGATTTGAGTTTAGAATTGAAATTGAGGAAATTTGAGATCAATTTGGGGCAAATTGGGGTGATTCGGAGACTTTAAGCACTTAGGGGCAAATTAGGATTTTGAGCAAAATTGGTCAATTTGGTCAAATTCGCCCCAATGGATGGTCAAGAATTAGTTTTAAGGGTGTTTGAAATGATTTTAGAGGTTTTGAAAAATTTTGGGCCACCAATGGTACTTTGGTAATTTTGATAAATTTAGGGGTATTTTGGTATATATGAAAATTTTGGAGTATTTCGGGTAATTTGAGTAAGGTTAAGTTTTGATGCAAATGTTAATCATAGAATTACCCTCGCAGTGCCATGAGACCAAAGAAACCCCACTTCGAATTCTCCATGTGTTAGTCTTACCCACCCTAGCCAAGAGCTAAGGGTTTGGGGGACCACCCACATGGGTATCCAAAGAGGCAAGGAAACCAAACTGAACATGTGTAGGTTAGGGTTCAAGGTTGTGAGTGAAAGTGTGAAGTGCAAGTATGTGCTAGATCAAGCCACATCACCTAGGGTTAACCCTAAGGTCAAACAATCTTATGGGGAATCCCTCTTGAGCATCCCCATATTAGTTCTACTTACTAAGTGCCAGAGGTTAGAACCAACATGTGGAACTTCAAGATAAGCAAAGAAAAGTTTGAAATTTCTATTGGTGAGGGTACCATCACTAGTCCTCTAAGAATAGTCAACAAGAAAGTCCTATGGCTAGATCCTAGACTTATAAAGGAAAGACCCAAAATCCTCACCCAAAAGTAAGGTCAACGCCGCCTTCGCTGTCCAGCCATCCCCCCACTGTAGCAGCCTCAAAACAACCCTCACTTTGCTGTCCGGCGGTCCCACGCTTTCACTGTCTCTGCCACTGTCATTCCCACTCGTTGTCGTCCCAAACTCTTGGTTGTTTGTTGTTGTTCCAGCCATCCAACAAGCCCTTGCTTGTGGTCTTTCAGCCAACCAACCTCCACCTTTCCCCATCACAGTCCCCCACAACTTCCCCTTCCTCCTGTAGCCATCCACCGCTTCGTCACCTTCCTCTTGTCGTCCACTCACCAAACCAACTGCCACCTTTAGACATACTTTAGTCGTATTTGTTTGCATTAGTCTTTGTATTTCCCTTTCAGGTGTGTTTAGTTGTAATCACATATTGACCTTTTCAATAATAATAATATTTGTATTTCTATTATTGTTTGAATTAACTCTGGTATCATCGATAGAAATGATAGTGGAACCTGTCTTGCATGAATGTTCTACATTACCGCATATATATTTATAGAAAAAATTTTCTTTTCCCCCACAATCCTGCTACAACACTGTTATAATAACCAGCTACATTAACCCATTACATCAATTGAAAATATCATGCCAAACAACAGCTATTTTTGCTTAATTATTTAGTTTTTGAATATTTCCAAATTCCACCTCATTATATTAAATGCCAAAAACCACCACAACACTAAGGCCTACCTATATAGTTGAGAAGAAGCTAGTAGTGATGATGAGGATAATGATTATATTTCCAATAAGATTGAAACCTTTAAACAACATTAAATCACCCAGTGAATTAAATTAAAAGCCCAACTGTAAGAAGGTATTACACTATAATCCAAAAAAACTGAAATAAGGAAGCAGGGCATGAGCTATTGCAAAAGACCTGTTAATGAATCTCCAACTTCCTTAAATGTGGAAACAAATTGTTCCAATGTCCCGAACACAGCTGGCATGCAGAAGTGCATTAATGCCCAAAGTTCAGAGAGATTATTCTGTATTGGTGTGCCGGTCATTAGCAATCGTCTAGGAATGAGATAGTCCCGCTCAAGCACCCTATACAAAACCTACAAGTTATGAAGCAATAATATCAAAAAAATTACCAAAATTTCTCGTCAGACATGTTAAACACAAATAAGAAAGATTGAAGGTTAGCTAAAATGAGCTGCATAAAAACCGAAATGAAAAAAACTAAAGGAGACATTACAGAATTCTTTAGCTCATGCCGTTAAAGTAAATAATGGAAGAGAAATTAAAACAAAGTTAATCACCACTACAACCAAGCATATGGTTTTGAAAAAAATCAGCCAGTTCATGCAATATTCGAAGAAGTGTAATTTTTTTAGTATAATTTATATGCGATATCTTATTAGATAATTTTAAGGATGGGGTAGTGTTGCACGGTAGCTTGGGTCATTAAATTAGTTAAGTTTATCAGTCACTTTACATTTATAGGCAGAGTTTCAAAATGAGTGTTGGTGATGGTCAATTGAATCATACTCTTCGGTCAAATCTTATGATCGATCAATGGGCTCATCATAGGGCATGAAAAAAAGCGGTATCATAGTGGTTAAACTTTGAGAATTAAATGCATAAGTTGATTGGTATTACAATTATTAGAAACAAAACCAAATTTGATTTGACTATACCACAAAACTTAGAAAAGTATGGTCTTCTTAGGTGACCGATGAGATAACCCATTATTACATATTTCAAATAATGATCTTGTATGAATACGCGGACAATAATATAGATTTTATGCATAATAAAAAGTTCCAAGCAGTGTTAGTAAGATTAGCAAGCTAATATTAAAGATTTGTAAAAGATGTTTCTCAAATTATGATGCCTTTATGTTTGTGAGGAAACCGCGGAAACTGATTTGAGAGATCCGAAACAAAACTTAGAACAAAATTATACAGTAATAAAACACAAAAAAATGCAAAGAACAACAAGATTTAACATGAAAAAATCCTAGAACGGGAAAAAAGTCACTGAGCCGTGCCACACCAAGAAATTCACCATGAAGAAATGAAGAGAATGTGCATATTACACCACACTCAAATCTCTGCACACTTCCGGAACTCACGAACATTCATTTCTATCTCACTCACAAGAGAACTCGCAATATTCTCACCCAAATCGTGCAGTGAATGCAATCTTTTAAAAGTTGAACTGCACATTTCAGTTACAGGCACCTAGGTGCCGAGTTTCCTCATGCTCTGTTCCCGACATTAGAAACGAGTGTATTTGGGCGTGGTTGCACCCTTCCTGACCGCCACTTTTCCTCGCACTCAGATTCAGGAAACATCTTGTGGAGCACCTAGGCACCACTCCACGCACCTGGTTTCCTGGCTCCCTGTTCTAGAAGTGTATGCTAGGCGTCTGGGTGCCCCCTCCAGGCACTGTGGCACCCAACCAGGCGCTAAGGTGCCCCTCCTTTCCACAATCGGGCTCCACACATAAACAAAACTAACTAGAAAAGATATCAGATTTTATTTGAACTGATGACTGAGCAAAATTTCTTAGAACTTAAGAAATATATGACATATGCATTAGTATTGATGATTTCATTTGAAACCAAAGAATTTAAAATATATATTGATGCACCTTTAAAGAGATTCACATATATTTTAATACAAATTAAAAGATGATTGCACCTGCTTCCAAAATAATTGAAACCACGTAAGACAAACTATCATAGTTCAATTTAGTTGCAAAAGTGTTTGCTCTATAAATTTGGATGTATTAATTGTATAGAGCAAAATATAAAGTATTCATATCTAATAAAAGTTTGGAATATATTTTCACTAATAAAGAATTGAATTTAAGATAAAGAGTGGATGCATAGAGCTGATTAACAAATCTTGATATTGACAAACAATATAGACTTCAAAGTCTAATGAGGCAGCTAATACATTGAGTAGAAAGTCTAATCAGCATGCAAGCTGGATATTAACTCAAAAACACAGATGATTAAGGATATTGAAGCGTTACAATTGGAAAAAAGTACGTAATGATAAGGCAAAAGAAGTTTACATCAAATTATTGTACACCATATCTTAAAAAAGAAGAACCAAGGATAGGAAGAGGAAAATAGTGAATATCATAATTTGATTGATTGAGTTTAGGCAGACAAGACAAAAAAAACCTTACTATGAATGAGTGTGATAAGCTTAATAATAATTTACTTTTTTGGATTCCAGAAAAATTAAATTTGATTTAGAAGATTCATATGGCTCCCCATTCAGGCTATTTGATTCATCCTAGGAGTACCAAAATGCATAAAAATTTTAAATCATTATTTTAGTGGCCTAAATTGAAGATGTAATTGAGTATGTAGCTCAATGTGAATCATGTCAATTGGTGAAAGTTAAACACTAGCGACTTCTTGGAATGTTGCTTAATTACCAATATTATAGTGAAAATGAGATAATATAATCGTGAATCTGTCACGAGTTTTTTCAGATCATGACAAGTGAATAATTGTACTATAGTTATAATTAACATATTAGCAAAATCAATAAACTTTCTACCAATCCATCAGGCCAATTTAGTTGAGAAATTGGCATGATATTTGTGAAAGAAGTTGCCAAAGTTCATGAAATTCCAAAGGTATTTGTATCAAACACAGACAACAAAGTTAAATCCAAATTTTAAAAACACACTAATGAAAATTTGTACACAAAAGTACATTTTAGTATATCATAGCATCTTACATTGATGTCACTATTCTATATTTTTAGGATTTACTGAGGTTATATATTTTGAATTTTGATAATAGATGGTAGAGTCAAGTTCTATTGATAAAGTTTGCTTATAATAATAACTATCAATTCAATATTAAGATGTCACTTCACGAGGCACTATATGTTAAAAATGTAGAACTCTATTAACTTGCTTTGAAATTGGTGAAAGATAATCACTGAATCTGCAACTAGTAGATCAGGCTATTGATAAAATCGGATAAACAAGCGACAAATTAAAAACTACCTAAAATCATTAATAAAATACTATGATTTAAATCATTGAATGATATAATTTGATATTGATGAATTTGTATTTTAAAAGTTAAGCCTATATGGAGTACATCTAAATTTGTCCAAAGAGAGAAAGTTGAGTGCTAGATACAAATTAGGCTTGCAGTATTTATGTTTGACGCACATAATATTTTCATTCCCCACTTAGTGGGATAAGGGCTTGTTGTTGTTGTGTTGTTGGACATAACAATTTCATGCATCAATGCATATAAAATGGATCACAAATATAAACCAAAGTGTAACACAAAATAAATTTGAGGCATAGAGAGCTTTAACTTACATTAAACATTCAAAAGAAAAATATTAAGTTTTGATGCTAAATATGGAACAAAATGTGCTCTAAACATTTAAAATGTTTTCATACATGTTCTATATTTTTTTTTTGAGAAAGCCCAAGGGCTAATATATTAAGAAGAAAAAAGCATACCGATAGATTGTGTGAGAGAGTCCAAGCATGGCACTCTACCCATACGATAAACACCACATGCAAATGGTTCAAAAAAAAAAAGAAAATACAAAAAAATACATGAGAACCAAAAAAACCAAAAATGACAAAACAAGTAGTATCATGTAGCTAGAGAGCGACTCAATTTTGTCTTGTCTCTGCCTCTAGTTCTAGGAAAGGAGTCAGCTAACAAGTCAGCTAACAAATTGGGGTAAGGTGAGTGTCATTGCCAGTAGTAACCAATGTATCGTCCAATAAGTTCATAAGCTCGAGTCGACCTCCATTCTTCTTCTTCCTCCTGTAATAGACATGTCATTCCTCATCTGAAGACTGACTCACCTTATTAGTAGATTGGTCTAAAGCGTGTCGGACATGTGTAGGTTGTTGAAAATTAGAAGCAAACACTTGTTGTACCAGCTGATCTTTTATTGGATCAAATGAGCACTCTCGTGTGTCTTGGCATGTAAGTGAGTCTTCTTCAATAACATTGAGTGGTATAGACACGTTTGGATCTGTACTTGCAGTAAGGGGAGATGCTTCATAGGACTCCGAAGTACCATGCTCCAAACGAGCAGCTATGATAGATTGTTCAAAAGCAGGAGCATACAAGGGTAGAGCAGGTTGGGTATAGTGTTCTCATCAGAAACTGCGGCATTGGAAGGAGGGTCGGGCTGCACCTTCTCAACAGGGATGGTAGGTGGCAAGATGTCAATCCCTAATCCAATATGAAAAGATTTTTTAACAGGTTGTTGATCTTTAGCAATATCTGCTCTTAAATGAGGATGCAATCGATAGCAGATAGTAGGAGTTGTCGCCAAACATACTACAATGAGAGCAATAATGAGGGTGTGGTTCTATTTCAACATTTTGTCAATGTCCGTTGTGACTTGTGAGTGGTTCTAATTCATATCTCATCCGGAGCTAGTTGAGTGATATCTCTCTCAACTAACACACAAGTCACAGAGAGTCTGGTGACAGCTAGTGTAGGACTATCAAACTTGAGAGGCTTACCGTAGTTGATAATGAGTACATAATTTCCAAGTTGAACAGATGCAGTTTTAACCCCGAAAACTTTATCCAAACAGGAATAATAGGGGACTCCGCTTTTGGAACAAAATTGACAGTACACTTCAGAATTTTCATAAAACGGTTTTCGATATTGATAACTTTATGAGAAAAAATACAAGTGCAATCCACATCATGAGATAACTGAATAAATATATGTCTGTCATCAAGTTAATATTTCAACTGCCCAATAGCTTCATAGCATCAAAATATTTCCGAATGATCTCAAGTTTTTGGTGACCATAAAAGAATTTTTCCACTAAAGCAAAACGCCAAGAAGACGCAAGAGTACTGGTTCAACCTCAGTGAGAATAAGAGTTGGCTTCTCATTTTTTGGACCAAATTTTTTTAATGAAAGTGTGTTCGCCACCACCTTCAACAGCCTCGTGGAAGGATTGTGGAACATTGCAAGACTTACCGATACCAAAACCTGGCTCTGAACCTGAAAGAGGGGCATGAGCAGGAATAAAAAAGACGTCGGCATGGGCAATTGCATAGGAATGGAGTGTCGAGGCCATCTCCACTGACAAGATGGCCACGGTCAGAGAAGAGCGGCTTCGCGAGCCGCCAGGAGGATGCGAGCAGACTTTAGGCAGTCGCGTCGTCTGGAGCGAGTGAGGAGACAACTGTGAAAGAGAGAAGTGTCATCGACTATAGGAGACGACTACGAGAAGGATAGCGTCGTCGTCTATGGGAGTTAGACGTCGTCGGCTGGAGCGATCGTTGTCGACTACGGGAGACGACTGCGAGCGATCAACTTCAACTGGAGAGACGACAGTGAGCGAGTTGCGCGTACTTAAAATGTCGTCGAGGGACACAAGCATCGGTGACCACTGGAGCGCAGAGATAGAAGGGATCGACCTCCACGACTCAAATCTTGCAAATATTGAAGTACCATTTTTCTCCGCTTTCTTCCATTTCGAACAAATATTATTTTTTTTTATTTTTTTTATTTTTTTTTTTTGAAAAAGCCCAAGGGTTGATATATTAAAGATAAATATACAAATAGGTTTGTATGGGTAGGCCTAAACACCCAACCCACACGGTACAACACATACAAAAAAATGTAAAAGATTGGTACATATAGAAATATAAAGAAACCCAAAAACCACCTGGGCGCTGAAAAAGTGTGGGTCATCCCAATCTAGTCTTATCTCTGGTTCTATTTCTCGACAGTGATCCAGCTAGCAGATTGGTAAGGTGTTGACCATTACCCGTAGTAACCAAAGTATCATCCATAAGACACCTGAGCTCTAGTAGATCTTCATTCTTCTTCTTTCTCCTGGAAATATATATATATAGTGTATTGCATGCTTTTCTATTACACCTATCATGATTTAATCTTGAGTTTACTTGAACATGGTATAAGATTAACTTATGGGTCATTTGTTCCAATGCTATCTAAAGCCAAGTCTAGCAATAGGTTGGCTCAATCAAATGTCGATCCATGCCAAGCAAGGCTCCTGAACATCAATTTGAGTTTGACTTGAGCCAATGTCGATTCAATCTCAATAAATTTTTGACACCCTAAGCCAAGTTGTTAGCCCAACATACATACACTCGTAGATGTATTGATTAATATATTCAAATAAATAGATGCAAAAATAAATGCATATCAACAATTTATGTTATTTATCTAATCATGCATATGAACATGTACTTTTTGATCCACTCTCGAGCTAAGTCAATCTAATATATAAGCTCAGCTCAATCTAAGTTCGATCCTCTGGTCAGACTTGGTTAATTAGTCAACAAAACATTGAATTAAATGTAAGCTTGATCTGAGTTAAATAGCCTTATTATCTACTTCTCATACGGACTTACACTAGAATCTTACCCCAAGACAACCAACTATATCTCTTTAGCAATCAACATTAGGGATAAGTTTGTACGATTCATGTGCTTTGTACTAAACTGGATCACATATTGCCAGTATACAGAAGAATATGATTTGAAGAAACATAAATTGAAAATTTATCAGCTTATCTGCTGACAATAACTTAGAAATTATTACTGTGCGCCATTCTCAAAAATAACCAGAAAGATAAATGTACAAATCCTTTGGTCAAAAAAAAAAAAAAAGACAATCCACATGAAGAACATGCCACAATTCACTAATAGTTTGGTAAAAGCCTGTATGAAAATGAAAAATTTTGAAAATAGCAAATAAGAAAAAAAGCTACATACACTATTGGAATTTTTGAGGCGCTGAGCCTCATCAATGACAGCGTAATGCCAGGGAATTTGTGAGAGAAAATCTTGATCGGATAGTGCTATCTCATAAGTTGTCAGCAACACATCAAAGTTAAAAGAAGCTTCTCCTGCAAAAACATTAGATGACACTCTAATGACAAATACTTGTGATTTTCAAAGAGAGCAAATTAGTAGCAACATAAACAAAGAAGGGGACAAGTGAATTATCCAACTTAGATGTCAAGGTGATAAAGATTTTTAGGCGCCAAAATGGTTTTCTTTCTAACTTCAAATAATTAATCAGGTCACTTAAACCAAGGAAAATGTGTGTGATTCATGAATTAGAGGACCACATCTAATTCTATCTCAATCAGTAAAACAAGAAAAAATGTCGTAATAATATGAGAAAGGGCATACCAACATTACATGTTACAGATTGTTTTTGCAGGTGTTCATGCATCATCCTTCGAAGGGTGCGACGGCGTTCTTTATCACCAACATATCTAAGAACCGTCAAATTTTGACAGAATTTATTGAATTCTGAAAACCATCCATCTGTGATGCTTAGAGGGCACAGTACCACTGTTAAATTCATAAAAATTAACAAACAGTTAGAATATATAGATACTAATTAGCATTAAATGTTGCGAAATTCGGAAACCGAATAATTCACTCACAGAATGGTCCAGGAGAAATGTTCCGCATCTTGATATAATTCATGAAAGCAATAGCCTGAACAGTCTTTCCAAGGCCCATCTAACAACAGTTGGAAAAAAAATATATTAATGTGAATTAGAGGATAGAAAAGCTAGATATTTAAAAAATAAAATGTAAATATTGCCTCCAAAACACTGAGGTCCAAGGATCAACATGCAATAGTAGGATTCCAATGATGATAAATTCAAGAGATTATCATATCACAACTCTATTTCAAAAGGCCTGCAGATCTAACACTTTAATACTGCAATGCAAACCTTAATAATTTACCAGAGATGCCAAAAGGTGTTAATCTAAGTCAAAATATCTTTTGGCAACCAACAAAACATAGGCATATCTAATTTAAGCAAATGGATCAAATATTTGATTCATATGTTTCAAATCTTTTATATCCAGAATTGGAATCAACACAACTGCATTAATCACCAAAATTCCTGCTCAGCAGAACTTGGACACAGCAGCAATGCAAAAGAGAAACAAAAATACTAGCACTAGTAGAATAAAGATGTATACATCATCACTAGTATTCTACTACAGAAATAAAATTGGCTCCTAGAAACTGTGATGAAAATTAAAAAGCCACACGGAGTGTAAAAATTTCTAGGTCCCATCGTTGAACACTAGAACGACAAATAAGGCTGGAAGAAATAAGCTCTAGGTGTGAAGAAAATTTTCCTGTAAATAGCTCTAATAGGATTTAAAATCTCAAACTATGATAGCAGATTCATGATCAAACTGCTCAACAAAAAACCCTAAAACATTGCATTTATTGGTTTTCCTTTTCATCCAAACACAGCCGTAAAATTTGAGAGTAAACAGATCATCAACTGCTAATACTATCATAGTCCTGTGAAAGCATGTGCACCAACCTCGTCTCCTGCAAGTAGCAGAAAAAAAGCGTTTAATAGCACAACCGAAATTTGAGGAAAGAATAAGAGATAATGTGGGGCTGCAACCAAGCAAGACGTTGACGCCAAGCTCGTAACGGTGGATAAGCCAAGAGACGCCCTCAATCTGGTGGGGCTTCAGCACTCCAGAGACCCCGAGCTCGGCGGAATCCAGAGGAATGTTGTCATTCGTGCGTTGATCGCTGGCGAGTACAATCTCAGTCGCCGCGATAAGCAGCTGAAGATAGTCCATCGACTCCCTAAAATCAAGGATTCGTTTCTGTCTGGAAATAGAACACGAAGCTGCGAGGGAATCAAGGATGGTTTTCACTTCTTTAAGCGGGAAGTTATCGACGCTGCTTGCCAGTTGCTCCGGTGTGCATATAAAGCCGCCATTTTCTTGTCAAGACCACGTCACCCTCCCTTCAACGGTAATCTCACCGCCCAATTAGGGTTAGCCCTTATTCATCTCGTCGCTAAAATAAACATCTTGACGACGAGCTGAGGCCTGAGGGAGAAGGCAAGCAGATCAAACAATGATGCTATCAGCAAAGCCATTGACGACTCGTCACCCTTCCTTCTTCCCCTCGAATTTTTCCCGCGTCCCTAATACCAATCGTGAACTAGCCCCCACCAGATCCCTGCGGATCCCAGTTCTTAGGTCCGTTCCTCTTACAACCTCTGTCGCCGATCCAGTAGCAACGGCGGCGACCCCTGCGCTGACCCGCGTGGACATCCTATCAGAATCGCTCCCTTTCATACAGCGATTCCACGGCAAGACCATTGTGGTAAAGTACGGAGGCGCCGCTATGAAGTCCCCGGCTTTGCAGGCTTCCGTGATCAATGACCTTGTCCTCCTCGCCTGCGTCGGGCTCCGGCCCGTCTTCGTCCATGGCGGAGGTCCGGAAATCAACTCCTGGCTTCTCCGCCTCGGAGTCGAGCCCGAGTTTCGAAATGGCCTCCGTGTTACTGACGCTCTAACCATGGAGGTCGTGGAGATGGTCCTTGTCGGCAAGATCAACAAGTCGCTCGTCTCCCTTATAAACCTCGCCGGTGGCACAGCCATCGGCCTCTGCGGGAAGGATGCCCGTCTTCTAACCGCCCGGCCTTCACCCGATGCCGCTTCGCTCGGATTCGTCGGTGAGATCGCTCGGGTCGACCCATCAATTCTGCGCCCTATCATCGCCAACGGCCACATCCCCGTCATTGCTTCTGTCGCTGCAGTTGACATGTGGTATGAGGTTCCTCCCGCGGGGAAAATGCCCGCCGCCATTGGCGCTGAGAAGCTGATACTTCTGACCGATGTGGCGGGAATCTTGACAGATCGCAATGATCCCGGGAGCCTCGTGAAAGAGATCGACATCAGTGGGGTGAGAAGAATGGTTGAAGAGGGGAAGGTAGCTGGGGGGATGATCCCTAAGGTGAATTGTTGCGTGAGGTCGGTTACACAGGGGGTTCGAACTGCGAGTATAATCGATGGGAGAGTGCCGCATTCATTGCTGCTTGAGATTCTCACAGATGAGGGAGCTGGAACGATGATCTCTGGCTGAGCCTGTAGTTGCAGTGGAGCGGGTAAGTGGTGTTAGATAATTTTACAAAAAACTGTTCTGCTTCTTTCTCGTAGCTTGGCATACGATTCTCAGATGAGATCATTGATGCTTGTGTAGGAGTTTCTTTATGATTTTCATCCCGTTTTTGTCTACCTTTATCATGCTTCTTTTTTTTTTTTTTGTTTCATTGACTGGAATATTTTTTATATTTGGGGTGGTTGAACAATGCTAAAATTAGGAATGGTGGATGTAAACATCTTTTAAATTCATTATTATTCATTGACGGCGAAGGCTATGTCCGATCATGGTAAGGTATTGGAGAGCACCTACAATACATCGATATTCAAATGGGTTCTCCAGAAGTGGTGTGTTATTCCGATTGTTAATTTGCTTGCTTGGAAGAGGAGTAGAAACAGGTTTACAAACCATCGTGGCCATCTCATGTAGGATATTGGTGAGATATGTCTGTTGGCTCATAAAAAATGATTGTGGTGTCTGACATACCTCCATCCCAAAAAAATTCTGCACTTCACCAAGCTGTTTAATCTAAAATCTCGTGGATAGTTAGTTGGTAAGTTCAGTGATAGCCTCCATGCAATCTCCGATTATGAGAATGTCGTCAACGTATAGGAGGAGGAAGGTGGTATGTGCAGAATTTATTCGGAGAAGCAATGACAAGTCGGCGAGGCTTTTGGTAAAGCCCAATGAGATCATGAAATTCGAGATGGTAGTAAATCATTCGTGAGGGGACTCTTCTAAACCATTGAGTGCCCTTTTGAGGAGACACAGATGTTGTGGGAATTGCGGATCCATAAATTCGGGCGGTTGTTTTACAGAGATCATCTCATAAGAGTTCCATGGAGGAAGGCGTTAGAGACATCAAATTGTTTGATGGGCTAGTTGCAGTTGAAGACCATCGTTAAGAGGCTACGGAGGGTTGGCATTTTCACTACCGGGCTAAATGTTTCATAGTAGTTGATGCAGAACTCTTGGTTGAAGCCTTGGGCTACTAACCTTGCTTTATAGCAAGCTATTGAACAATCTGAGTGTTGTTTAGTACAATAAGTCCAGCGACATCCCAAGACCGGGTGGTTAAGAGGGGAGGGAACAAGGGTCCGGGTTCCTTGAGCTTGAAGAGCATGAAATTTCTCGCTCATGGCCCTTTGCCAATGTTCGGATATTATTTAGTGATTGTATGAGGTCGGATCAATGGGATGTGAGGTTTGGTGAAGAAGATTAAGGTGCTAAGTGGGTTTGAGGTTGCCAATTTTGGTTCGAGTGGCCATAGGATGAAAATTGGGAGGAGATCGGTCAATATGTGGAGGATAACTTAGGGAGAGATGGGGGTGTAGGTAAAGTGGTTTGGACAGTTGGGGTACTTAAGTTGGGAGGGACATTTGGCTTGGGAGGTGGAGGCATGTTCGGTGGGTTAATTTTGGGTTGGATGACTGAGATAGGTATAAGTAAGTGGGGGTTGATATGAGGTGGGTCCGTAGGTTGTGGGTTGAGAGGTTGTTGTGGCATGGGGAAATGTGTTCTCATGAAACACAACATCGGGGGAGATTATGATTTTGGATATTTAAGGGTTAAAGCATTTAAAGCATTTGTGACTTGGAGAGTATCCAAGAAAAATGCATGGGGCCAAGCAGAGAGTAAGTTTCTGTGGTGTAGTTGGTTTCATCCAAGGGTAGCATGAGCATCGAAAAACCCTTAAGTGAGAGTGAGTGAGTGAGATTTTATAGAGAAGCTCATATGGTGTTAACTATTTTGTGTTTTTGGATGGCATAAAGTTTATGAGATAGACACTTGTGAGCAAGGCTTCATGCCAAAATGTAAGTGGAAGAGATGCATCATGTAAGAGTGTGCGAGCTCTTTCAATCAAGTGACAATGTTTGTGTTTTGCAACACCGTTCTGTTGAGGGATGTACAGACAATAGAATTGATGTGTCATGTCGTGTTGGGTAAAGGCTTGTTTGAGAGTGAAGTTATTATATTCCCCACCACCATCATATCGAAAGATTCAAATGGCGGTGTTAAATTGATTTTTAATGAGATTAAGGAACCTAATATAGATTTGGGAAAGTTCAGATTTACATTTCATGGGCCAACAAAATTTAGAGTAATCATCATTAAAAACGAAATAATATTGAAAACCTTGATATGATAAAATTGGGGATGGACCCCTTACATCGGAGTCTGTAAAGGTAAGTACATATGTAAAGAACGAGAGGGAAAAGATTATCTATGACTCTTACTATAATTGTGGCTATTACATAAAGAAGTATGATAGGTAATTCCTAGAGTCGGTTGAAGCTTGGACATATGGCAGAGGATATCGGTATGTGGATGACCAATTTTTTTTTGTGCCAAAGTGTGGAGGTTTGTTGTGAGGTAGCCAATACTTGATGAGTGACTGAGGTGGTTGAGTTGATTGAAGGTGGAGATATGGAATATAGTCCTTCGAAACTATGTCCACAAAGTAGTATGTGATGAGTCTGCGGATAAAAGTAAGAAAACCAGTATGATCAGAGATAATTGATAGCATTATTATCAGCAATTAATTTATGAAAGAATAATAAATTGTGTGATGAGGAGGGTACATGCCAAATGGAGGGGAGACAAAGTGAGCAAGTTGGAGTAGGAAGAGTATTGTCACATGTGTGTTTGACTTTAAGTGGTTGTTCGTTTCCAACTAGGACTTGTTCTGAATCGTTTGCAGGATTAGCAACTTCGAGATGAGAGAGATCTACGGTGAGATGACTTGTGGCCCTACAAGCAACTTGGAGATGAAAGGATTCCGCTTGTAGGGCTTTATTGGTAGGCACATATTCTAGGTTGGAGCGGTGCCAACAGTGAATCGTGGTGTGACCGAAAGAGGCACAATGAAAGTCCTAGGAGAGGTGTTGTTGTGTGTTGATTGATTTGATGGAGATGAAATGTTTCTGCCTCTCCCCCTGGATGACGTACCTTGTCATCCACGGTAGGTGTTCAGTGTTAGTTGTTGATAGTCGGCTCAAGCTTCTATTTATTTGTGGTTTGATTGATCTCCTCACTGCAAAGTAGAGCATAGAAGTTGTCCAACGCCATTTGTTGGAATTGGGTGTTTATGGTCATTTTAAAGGATTAGTAGGTTGTCAGAAGTCCATTCAATGTGTAGAGGATGACATCCTCATTGTCTGAGTTGCCTCTGGCGGCGAGACATTATCCACCAAGGTTTTGATCGTAGATTGTTGGGCCATATATTGGGTATTGGTGGATAGATTATACAATTTATTTTTCAATTGGATTCGTCATGACCGATTAGATGGTTGGGAGCGTTTGGCTATGGTAATCCAAATTTCGGTCGTGGTGGGTAGGTGGAGGATTTTTTTAAGGATTGTCGAGGATATGACAGAGTAAATGGCCATGATTAGATTCTAATCCATAAGGATCTAATTCGTGTATTGAGGGTTCGCTGATGGGATGGCTTCATTTGAGTTGAGAAATTTCAATTGACAAGGAATGGTACCTTGTAAGAATCCAATAAAATCATTTGGAGTAAATGTTTTTTTTTTTTTTTGTATTTGAGCTTTCCAAATAGGAGATTTATTGGCTGAGAGTGGGTTTGAGTGAGAAGATGTAGATTATGCAAGAGAAATTTCAATGTCGATGGTATTATAGTGGTTTGTGATGGATCTGAGACTGGATGATCCTGGGTTTCAGATTGAGAGATGGTAGACATTGTGGATGTCGGGAAAATATAGCCTGGAGTATAGGGTTTTAGATTTGGGGTTCGATGGAGCTGGGTAAGGAGATGGAGTATGCAGCTTCGGGTATGGAAAATGTGGGCAGAAGGGAGAGGAAAAAGCTCTTAATCAGCTCAGCGACGAGTCGTTGTGCATGCGTCCAACCGCTGCCTGTGGACGAATGGTCAGGAGATGGCTGAAGGATCGACGGGAGAACAACGAAGAAATTCTTACACGTTAGGTAGGTATATGGCTCCCTGGTTGCCAGTCATCGATCAATCGTCGGTCAGAGTTGTCAGTGATCGTCGATCAGGTAGAAGGAGGAGATACCCGAATGATCTTGGACGAGTGCTCTGATACCATAAAGTAGAAACAATCTGAATCAAGGGATTTACTCCCCACTACTCAGTACATAAAGCTAGGCTAAAGCCTTATTACATAACTACCTTTAGGTTGTGAATTAGTGAATATAGGTTTAAAATAAAGCTAGTGCAATAAGGTAAATATATGTTTGAGGTGGAGCGGTTTGAGTTTTCCAATATGCACAAGCCCCTATATTTAATTATCTCTTTCGATAATGGAAGAGCACTTTTGATTAAGGCTGGTCATTAAGAAAAAAAATAATTGGACTTAACATATAAGAGCGCCAAATTTAGATTTTAAATCATAAAATTATTATTATCGGCTTAAAAGCGGATGTTAAGGGAAATGATGGTGAACCCAATCAAGATCTCATGATTCTGTCATCTCAAATTGTCATCATCTATTATCTACTTAATTATAAGAGGTGTTTGACTCAGCCTAACAAAAGGATCGTTGTCAGTAGCTACTAGTTGTTTAGTCCAAGGGAACCTTATAGATTTAGAATGAATGTTTATTTAATGAGACTAATCTAAGATGACCTTAGCTTATAAAGGGCTTCTTATCCTTTCAAATATAACTTATGATTCATAACTCAAAATGGTAGACTCTCATTGGGGAACATACGAGCTACATCCATGACCGTAATATAATAGTGACATTTGATGGCAAACCACCCGGTCATAGGGTTATGGTTATGAGTGCTTATTTTTTGTGTCATTTGACAACAAATCCACGCAGACAGAAGACTCAAGTAGTGCTCTTACTGTCACAGTAATTTTGGGTTTTAATTTTGTAGTATAATTGATATGACATTTTGCCCTTTGTGAGCTTGATTCAACATTAAATTTGTTCACCTCGACAAACAATTATAGATGGTGGATGAGTTTTACTTTTAGCCTTTAAGAGACGCATCTCTTTTGAATTTTCTTTTTTATTTTATAATTTAAATATTAGTTTCATAAAAATTCCCTTCAGTTAAGACGTGTAATAAGAATACCCATCATTGAAGAAAAATCATTCATTAATAAATATCTTTACAAGCACTAATCTAATCGACTTTAGTACTCATGAGGAGGATGATTGAACTAGTTTATGAATGGCACAATCTTGTCAATTGTAGTCCTAGTTAGGAGGAGAATTAGACTATCTATGGATGGCTTAGCGTTGTCAACACCAGTGTCTGTAAGGAGGAAGA